GGAGGGGAAGGTTAGAAATGGTGGTCTTTTTGTTTCCGAACTGAAAGGCAAACTATATCCTTACTTATAAAATACCTAGTCCCTGGCGAGATAAACGTTCGCAGAGTGAAAAGTAATACACAGGTTTCTTCAGTTTTACATTTTAATTGGTTACGAAATGAAAATTGACACTTATTTGTCTGAAAATCAGTTTTTACTGAAGTGAAGCTGCATTATATTTGAGTGGTAGTTCAAGTTCTGAAAAGGTGCATTGAATCAGCATTTTAATGCATTTTTAAAAACAAGTCATTTGACTTTATGATTTTTCCAAGCAAGTTTCAAAATGTCACTTTAAGACTCTGATATAAGTAAAAACACATATGCCATTTTTATCTGTCTTGAAATCAATTATACATTTATAACAGGCTGATTTGTTTTATTTTCATCAAGGTATTTAATCACTCTGTAAGTAAACCCAAAATCTCGTACGTTGTATCTTACTGATTTTTATTAACACTCCCCCCCCCCCAAAAAAAAAGAAACAGAAAAAAGAAGAAGATTGTGTGGGATGTGGTAGTCTGGCATTTTTCAACCCGTGTGCGTTTTAGGGAGAGTTGGATGGGATTTTTACGAAGTTGAATCTTTTGGTTTTGGCAGCAGCTGTGAGGAGCGCGGGGGCCGCCTGCTCTCTGCGGGTGCCACTCACATCCTCTCCTCAATCTCTTTGACCTCAGAGGAGACGACCTTGCCATCAACCACCTCCTCGACGATGGTCTTGATCTTCTTCACTTTGTTTGATTCTGGTAATGAAATCGAACAGTGAGTTAATTAATTTCAATCTATATTGACAGAATAATGTAACTGTAGTGTTAGCAACCGTTCCACAAATGAGAAAATAGATAAAGGCACCTTTTCAATGCCCAGTTACTATGAAGTAAACTTTTGGGGTGTCCAGGATATGGTTTCTCTTCCTTTAAACATCCTGTGTGTTACCCATAGAACTGTAGTGGACATTGTGTTGAATAACTCTTTATTCTTCCTGAAGTTTTTGCTTCACTTTACCACGTATTTGTAGGCCTAAAACCTAGGAATAGTCTTACACTGCAATGGACATTTTTGCTGTTAAACTGGGTACTTTATTTAGGAGCCCAGTCTCCCTGTGCAGTCAATGGAGAGAAGCAAATGCTTCTGAAATCCTTCAGAGGCCAATTCAATATTTCTGTGGTGTTCTCCTGGCTCTTTGAGGAGTCTGTGGTTTTACTTTGTGCACCTGAATTATATACATAAAACCAAGCTTTGTGTAATCCCTATAGGCTATCCGTGCAGTTGGTTGCTTTCTTGATGTAAGATCCCATTAGGTGATTATCTGCTCTGAAACTGTGGTGTTTTATATCAGGCTCCTTGGTTCCACAACATTTCAACAGGCAGTTGTTAAAAAATAAGGCCATTGGTGGGACATACCTTTTTCAGCTTCTTCTGTGGCTACATCCAATTGGAAATGTCTGTTCAAATTAAAAAGTAAAAAAGATAAATATATGATGCCTAACATATCGAAGAAACATCCTTGTAACTTTCCTGTATGTTAAATCAAGACAGCTCATGTCCTTTTATGAATATATTTAACCAGATGCTTAAATAAGTTTTCTCTGTTAAAGTAAAACTTGCTAAGCATGAGCCATAGGTGAAATTAATCTGCAGACCCATTGCTGCAGTGCTGTGACTTCAGCTCATGCAGTTACACCCGGTCTGGTTCCTGAGCCAGAGCTGCTGAACAGGCAGAACCCAGGGGCAAATACCCCTGTGTGCTTGCCCCACTCTCATAGGTGTCTGCAGAACGGGGGATACCGGACTGTCGGAACATCTGCACCTCTTCACATTTTTGGGTAGCTTGGCTGCTAGGGACGCAGGCAGAGCAGAGTGCAGGCTGCAAAACTTGCCGTGGATTCAAGAGGAGGTCAGTTGAGTACTGGATCCCTCCCCCAGACCAGTTGGAAAGTGGCACATTTTACACTTTCACCTTCTGTGAATACAGGCAGGATCTGCAATGTTGTTTGCCGTCACAAGGAACTACGCTGACAATCACAGTGCCTGCATTTCCTCACCTGCTGTCCTCTCCGTCCAGCAGACGGCGGTACGTGGCGATCTCCATTTCCAAGCGAGTCTTGATATCCAGCAGGATACTGTACTCGCTGTTCTGGCCCTCCATGTCAGCTCGGAGTTGCCTCAGCTGAGCCTCTAAATTAGCAACTGCTTCCTGGATTTGGGCTAGCTGATAACTATAACGTGCTTCAGTTTCGGCCAGAGTGTCTTCCAAAGACTTTTTCTACAGCCGATGAAAAGAACAGAGATGTATTATTCAAGAGAATACTTTTTTGTGTTAAAATAACATTTTGATTGAAAAGCCTCTCGGTTTCTATATTCCTGTCTACTAAACACAGCCCTTATCTCAAATACTCTGTTATTTACCATGTTTAACTGGGACTGCAGTTCCAGCTCCAGGCTCTGGAAGATCTGTCTGCGATCGGTGATCTCCCTCCTCTGGGTCTGCAGCTGCTCAACGTTGATTGCCACTTCCTGGTTCAGCTGTTCTGTCTGAAATGCAGCAATGGGAGAACTGTAAACTGCAACCACACACGACTGAGGGTGCGCTGATGTTTAACTAATTGACCTTACCTGCTTTTCAAATTGTTCTTTGGCTTCTTGACGGTTCTTTTCTGCCATTTCTTCATACTGCCGTCTCATATTTTCCATAATAGTTGCAAGATCAAGACTTGGAGCAGCATCCACTTCTACGTTAATTGAGCCACCCACCTCTTTGCGCAGTCTGTCAACATCCTACAGCAATGGGGATTTATTAGCTGTGTGAATTAGCTGTGTATTGTCAGCTATGTGATATTTCAGTCCTGAATATTGGAAGCAAATTCAAAATCTGCAGCCATAGAAGTAATTCTTAAATAGCACCTCAGGGCAAGATAACTTAATCACCTTGTAAATACTGTTTAGTGCACCTCATGTTCAAACTTGTTGCTTATTTTGTAGCAATAAATGCTATATAACAGACAAATATATTATAAAAGGTTTCTTTCCTCAGGACCAGTTCTATCACACGGATGTAGAAGTCACGGTTCCCATTTGTATACTTTTATGTGGCAGCAACTCCTAAACTACAAACTGTTCTTAAGGAGAACCTTCACTCCGTAGTTTCTGGAGCTGTTCAGCCTTCAGTGTGCAATAGCTGGGTGTCAGTTAGTGCCACACACAGCTACACAGCTTCCAGAAACGATGCAAGTGCTTTGGTGCTGCACAGCATGGTTTTGAGTGGCTAGGCTGGCTATTTTTCTAGCTTGGATCTTTCTAATACAGTGCTTGAAGAGTATATTTTCTGCAACATGACAAGGTATTTACACTTTTGAAGCTGAGAGTATGACACACTAGGAGGAAAGCTTGAGCATATGCCATAACTGACACTTCAGCATTTGACAGTCATTTTGAATTCAGGATTTCAGTTTGAGTCTTTCCTTGAGAAGGGGAAATAAGCCGTGGTTGTCTATCATTCTTACCTTCATAGGTCTTTGAAACTCTAAATGTAATGCTAAGGGTGAGGTTCACTTTGAGCTTGGACTCCAAGGAGACACCCAGTACCCGTATCTAACTTGTAGGTGTCTCTGCGTGAGCCAGAGCTCCTGTTAGCAGCAGTACAGACCAGAGTGTCGCAGCTGAGCAGCCAGTGGGTGTTTGCTCTGCAGTGAGCTGAATCACGCTCTGGGCTGTGTCTGTTTTATCGATGGTCTCTCTGATTATAATAGAACTATAGGTGCATTCAGGTAATTTATGAATAGGCACCTAAATTTTTATGTGCTAATCTGGAGCTGAAGCCCACTGTAAATGTAATATTCTTTCAGATTAACCATGATGATTTCATTATCCCTAGTGAGGCTATGTGTGCCACCTAAAAAAATCTCTCCATGACAGTGTTCAGCTGCTCTCACCTCCTCATGGTTCTTCTTAAGAAAAGCTAGTTCTTCAGTCACGCTTTCGATCTGTGACTCCAAATCAGCTTTTGTCAAAGTCAGGTCATCCCGAACGCGGAGCAGCCCATTAATGTCACTCTCAACACTCTGCCTGAGCAGGTGTTCATTCTCATATCTGTAAAATAAGGCTTGTTTTGTCACCATGAGAAAGCAACTCTTTGATGTAAATGTTAGAATCACTAGCTTCTACAGCTGTAGTTGTATTTTTTCTTTTTATTAAACCTTACATTTAAAAATGTTTACTTCTAATAACTAGAAAGTTTCGTGAATAAGAGAAGCATGAAAGAGAATTTGTGAAATGATCATGGAACTTACTTGAGTCTAAAATCATCAGCAGCCAGCTTGGCATTGTCAATCTGCAGGACAAGCCTTGCGTTTTCCAGCTGTGCAGCACTGACCTAAAAAGGAATGGTGGAAAAATGATGATCTCTTGATCCATTTCTGGAAACCAGCGCTGCATATGGGCTTCATCTCGCTTAACTTCAGCTGTCTGTTACTCATCTAGGTTTAAGCTGAGTTCCTTTGGAAGTGCATAGAAGGAATTAGGGTTTTCCAAAAGGCAAATTATGAAATAGAACTGGTGA